AGCACAGCAGCACACAATTCACACACCCAGCACAATCCTGCTCTCAGTGAATCACAGCATCCTCAGCAGAAGGTCACTTGCAGCTTTTTTGTAAGTCCAGAATGTTACAGTGGGCTGGGTTTACACGATCGGTACTTTTGATATTTAAACATTCTTCAAATAAATCACTGTGACAACACCAGGGACAGAACACTCCCATGAGGCATTAGCCAGATTTGCTGCTTAACCCTCCTGTCTGATTTCAAACATTATTTCAAACAATACAAATTAATCCAGCTMTTCTAACAACAACTGATGTTTTGAGCTTTGTTTACAAGTGAGAGCCTTTGTAGGGATGCAGATGATCAAAGATGTGTGAGAAGAGCTGACATTCCAAGTGAATTTACCTGCCCAGGCAGCACAGTTCCCACAGAAGGTGTGATGGTCACRGGACACTCTGGGGGCACGTGGAACTCAAAGGAAGTGGGTCCAACTGGGACAGGGTCCCCACTCCCAATCCGTGGCACGGGGTGAGTGAGGGGGTTCCCATCCACGTGAGAATTGATCACATCCACAGTGGTTGAAGACACCGAGTTCAGGGCTGTAGCAGCAAACTGAACCAAGGAATGAGACAATTCAAGAGGTGGGTGGACTCCAACTGCTTTGCATGACAGCTTGAATTGTCTAAAAATAAACACATGATAAATTGTCTCAGCATAAAATAGTGTCTTAATCAGCCCGGAAAATAGGGAGCTAATCCTGTAGTCCCTATTTAAGCAGAATTTCAAGCTTGCAATGGGAATTTTGCCTAAAGACGAACAATAATACTATCTATTTTTAATGCACAATTGGCCAGAGTCCCTGCTTGAATTCTTCCTCTGTGAACTTCTGGAAATACATCCAGTCAAACCAAAGTTTGTGCCATCATTATTGCACAGCAGCATTGCCTTAATGCATGGAGCATTTTTACAGGAAATAATTGCTTTTTAAATTTCAGTCATTGTGCTGAAAAAGCAGCAGAGTTCTCCAGGTTGAGTGGCTTGGGGTGTGGGACAAGGATAAACTTGAGAAGGGTTGGGAAAAGTCACCTGGGGAAAGGCAGACACATAAACCAAGGATGGAACTGATGCCTTAGGATTTTTAGTTTCTATATTTTCATGCATCTGTATCCTTGTACTTCTCTAGTGCAGTGCTAAAGCTGCTGCTCTCCCATCTTTAGACAAAACAATTCCTCTCTGAGCTGAATCCAAGGACCCTTCACTGCCTCAGAGCCCCAAAATATGGAAACAACAGAGAATTGGGGGGAGCAAGTTTGGGGTGGTTGACATCATCACCTGAAGGTGGAATTGGGGGAATTGAGGCCTGATGTGTGAATGAAACTTAAAAACTTATAAAAGGTGAAGATCTCATGACTCAGGGTCCATTTTGGGTGTAGCCTCAGGAGGAGGAGGCTTTGTCTGCCCTCAGTGTACCAGGGGGTCTGTTAGGCCTGGATTAAAGTTGTCTGTTATTYTCTCAAGTTTGTCTGGGCTCTGTTTCAGATGAGCCTGATTCTAAGCACCAGAACCAACAGGCACTGAGCAACTCTTGCAACTGGACAATTCCCAGCTTAYCCCAGCCTCACCTCCCCAAAGCAGRCAGGGATTTMATTCTGAGCTGGRTTAACAGTGGGATCAGAYTTTGGCTTACCTGCTGTCCATCCACTAACTCACCTGTTGATCTCAGTCTTGCAGGTGACCTCAAAGCTGTACTCCTTTGCTTTGGTGGCTTTAAAGATGATGTCCAATGTCAGGCTTTCCAGAGGAAGAATAATTCCAAATCCATCGTTTGGTTGCACTTCAATAAACTTCAAAATGGCAGGATAYGAAATTATTAGTTAAATTAGTTAAATTATCAGTTTATTAATACATTCAAATAAGACATTACTGGCAAGATAAAAAAAAAATTGTTATTAAATGTGGAACTGTCAGGAGAAGATAAACCTTCCAGGGAGAAGTTTTTGTCTGAGTCAGTGTACGGATTCTGATGGACAGATTTCTCGTCTCAAAGTAACCCAAAAGGCATTAAATTAAAAATTCAGGAGAATCTCTTCCCCATCTGTGGGGATCACCTTGCTCTATTGTTTATTTACTCTTCAGAGACAACTGAATGAAATAAGAGAAAAATCTCAGCAGTTCCTCTGTGTCTTTGTGAGCTGATTCCTGTCAGGCACAGGCACCACAGGGGCAGGAGCAGTTCCACATCCATGGTTGTGCTTCAGTTGAAGATGACTCCTAAGTCTCCCCATCACACTTTGAGCTCCTCAGGAAACACAGGCAGGGAATTAAAGCTTTCACAAAGCTGAAGTTAACAATTTCTTTTAGCTGCTGCTTGATTTKAACCCCCAAACCAGCAGAGAACATGACAATGCTGAATTAACTGATGGGTTCCTCCAGCTCTGATGCCAATGTGCCCAAGCATTTCACATTGTGATCATCCTGCTCTCATGGAGTTGAAAAACCAGCTTTGTGCAAAAAATTATTCAGGAGACCCAGCAGCTCCTGTGATTAWTTCAACTTCCAGTCCCTCAGAAAGTACCCAGGCACAGCTTGGGATGATTCCCAAGGAGCACTTTAAAGACAAAGCTTTGGGCATTTGGGTGCAAAGTGGGCACAATCCTTGGCCTGGGGCCACAGCCACGCCCCAAGTGACCTGAGGATGAAAGAAAAGTGCCCCAGGTGTTCTCTTAGGAGAACTTTTGGTGTAAAAAAACAGGAATTCCAATAGGAAAAGGTGAGGAATGGGATAATCTGCTTGGCAAAGGCAGAGGGTGTCACACAGTGAGATTCACCCACTCCAGGACAGAGCTGACCCGGTGCCTCCACAGCAGCAGGAATCCCATGGAGCTGTGAGAAGCAGTCATGATTTATTTCCACTCACACTGGAACACGTTCCTGTGACACTCAGAGCTATTCTGACAGCAGAGGGGGTGTGTGTGGGATAACTCCCTACCTCTGGCAGCCCCACAAATCCAAACTCCTGTGGCAAGATGGATTTGTTTGTGAGGATGACATTTGCCTGCACGGCTTCATAGATCGTGCAGTATCCAAAGTCAATCTGGGCTGGGCTGATTTCCAAATCTGAAGTAGTGACAATGGCATGGACAGTAAAATGAACTTTTTTAGCCTGAAACAAATGCAAATGCACAGGATCAAAACTTCCATTTGTGGGTTGTAAGGACAGGATTTAAATGAAATGTCATCCAAAAGGAAAATTGCAAGAAAAAGTTATTYTGTTCCTTGACAGGAACATGTGAGATCAGCACTGAGGAGAAAGGATATAACTTTCTGTATCACAAACATGTGAAAAATCTATCAAATCTGTAGAGCATTATAAGCATCTTTTACTATTATCACAAAATTTAATCAGCAAAGAATGAATCTAAAATGAGATATCATTAAGTGAACATTCAYTAAAATAATTTACATCAGAGTCAGAGTCAGTCTGAGAAGCAGCATCACAAAAATGCCTGACCTTGTCCACGATCAGGATGGTCACTGGGGCCTCCAGGATTCCTGTCTCTGCACTGAAATAACTCCCTGCATCTTCGGGAAGAGACTGCCTGAAAATCCAAAAGTACAGATCCAAAATACAACCAGAGCCATCACAATATTCTGACTATTTTCTCACTCAGGGGAATAATGAAAWTTTGATGGATTATTTCTGAACAGAAAGAAAACCAAACCAAAACCTATTACTTAAGGTCCAAAAATTTTTTTATTTACAACTTTAAAATATCCATTTATCCTTTATTTTAAAATGCCATCCAGTCATTTAAAACTCTGCAAAATGAAAAGTTTACTCTCTAATCAGAATATAAACCCCGTGCATCGTTGCTGCAGCCCCAACACGACACCAACCCAAGCAGGGGCTCCCTGTGGCCACTGAAGTTGAGACAGAACCACTTTTGCTCCCAAACACCAAGTGAAAAACCTTCAGCCCTTCCAGAGCAGCTCAGCAATTTATAAAGAATATGCAGCTTTTCTGGAGGTGAAGCACCTTGCTGTCACAAGCTCCATTTCAGAGCTTCAAGCCAAGACAATACAAACCTGGAGTTTTTTTAGCTCTGCTGCTCTATTTTTATCTCAGAGCACCAGAGTGAGCTGTTTCCTGTTCTTGGGGCTCCACAGTGCTCGTGTTCTACTACTACTCATGGAATTACATGCAACTCTTTAATGTATTGYTAAAGAATAAAAATAACTCCCACTCGGTCGCCATGGTGATCTAAAATCTTGCTGTTATTTTGCAATAAGGGTGATGATGTTCAAAGGTGTTGGGAAGTTCTTTACACTGGGGTTAAGTAYAAGGGAAGAGTTGAGCATCAGCTTTCACTTTGTCACAGGACAGCTGAATAGCAGAAGAAATGAATCTGTTTCAAAATAATCCAGAGGGGGGAAAAAAATACTTGAAACTGTATGGACACAGGGATGGACTTTAAATTAGCTGCTGTGCCTTGGGGAACAGGCCCTGGAATCCTCCAGAAAGTTCTCTGAAAATGGCACAATTAAAGAGAAGCACAAAAGAAAGATCTGATTCAGAGTGCCAGTACCTGCAGGACTAGTTCCAGATGCAGAGAAACTACGGGAGGTGGTGTTTGGGATTTCTGAAAGGCAGAGGAGTAGAGAGTTTGCCTTCAACTAAAAGGAAATGTTGGCTCCAAGCTCACAGGAAGCTGGGTATCAGAACCCATATTAAATTGTTAAATTGGGAAATTGGGAAATGTGAATGTACACAAAATCTTTCAGCTCAAATACRTCTCYACAGATCAAAAGAAAGGGGAAAAGTGTCCTGTGGTTTCATTTTAGGAATTAACTCTGATACAGTGATATCCAGTGGGTTTGGAGTGACCATGGAGTGAAGAATTTCTCACCAGAGCAATTTATTTGATGTAGGCTCAGACTACTGAAACTGTGTCTGGATCTCAGGACATTCATTCCCTTCCCAAGCACAATTTCAATTGCTATTTCTCCAGGAAAAAGTTCCACTAAATCCCGGCCATGCACAGAACACTCAGGAGAAGCTCCCGAGCCTTCAGGCAGCTCCCTGCTCCCTCAGCAGCACTGAGTGGGGGGTTCTTCTCCCTTTGGTGTCACTTTTAACAYAGCTGCTCTATTAATAGAGCCCCTAATGCCAAATCACCCAGGAGCCCTCCCAGAAATGTGTCACTGGCTCAGCGCTTCCCCTGCGCTCGCGGTTTCTCCCCTGCGTTTGGTCTTTCAAACTGATCCGTCCCCTCCAACAGCCACAKACTTATTTTGTGTGTCAGAAATGCCTTAATCTCATCAAATCTCCTTTCTGAAGCTTCCCTGTTTTTTAAAGGAAGATTAAGGTTMTAAATCCAAGCTCTGCTTCCATCCAGAGAGGGTAACAGTGCTTTGCAGCAGCCCAAGTCGAGGAACTGAAATTTGTCATCGTGTTACTGTCCTTGTAATCTGATGGGATTTGAGATGCTGCAAGAACTGGGAATACTTTTTAGTTCTTTAAATTCTAACCTGATGAAGATTTTGCCATCAGTGGTTGGACTCTCAGGGTAGAATCCAGAGGTGCTGAGCACATCTGTGAGAATCCAAACACACTTACACTGACAGGACTAAAAACCCATATCAAAGAAGCAGCAAATTTGCAGCAGCAAAGACAAAACCACTGAAATATTTGGCTGCACATCAAAATTAATTCCATATGCCATTTAATTACTTTTTGAGAAGAAATGTGCTGCTAAATTCTTTAGGATGGCAGTGATGAGGTAAATAATATTAATAGTGGTCAGGGGCCCTGGTACTGAAATTTTTAAAAACTGGAATTGTTTCCTATCACTGTGTTTGTATTTGTAGATGTATCATAAAAGAGAGAAGGAAAACTTGCTGGGATAAAGCTTTTAGCACCAGGAAATGTTACATAAAAAAMATCACGTGAAATTCAAGATCAATACCTTCATCATTTGGAGAAAAATGTACCTGGGGAGGAGAGATATGGACAGGAAGCCCAACCACTCWCACCTTAATTAGCAAGCACAGGAGTTCTTGTCCAGAAATTATTCACTCAGTGATCCATGAAGTAACCACCTGGCTCCAAAACCTCCCTCCTGGACAAGAATGGCTTCCCACAGACCGGGAGCAGCCTCCCAGGAACTCAAGAGCTGGGATTGTCACAGTGCTGCTGTCACCACAGGGAGGGCATTGCCTCACAGCYCTGGCAGCCAAATTCATTTCCTCCTGGAGCATCTGGCAGCTCCCAGGGGGACAGAAGGGACCAGACCTGCACTGCAGCAGCAGTGTGAGTCCAGCCTGGACAGCAGGAGGGAACAACAACCCCACTCACTCAGCTTTTCCACTGCCTGAAATCCTGAAAGATTAAAGCTGGTTACCTGGGCAGGAACTTGAGCTGTGCATTGAAGGATGACTGAGGTTGGATGAAAGCTGTTTTTGGGAGCAGYTCCATGTGCTTGCTCAATTCTCTGCACACCTCAAACTTCAAACGCAGCGTGGTTGTTGCTCTGCAAAAACATCAAACGTGCTCGGGTGGCTTTGAGGTCACTTCAGTGCCACCAGTCTGAGCCCTCCTGTCCCCACCCCTGCATTGTCATCAGAACAATCCCAAACTCCCTTTGAAAATGATGGGCACGAAAAACTGCCACAGCAAGTTCACACAGTYGTGTTCTCTTTTAAGTACAGAAAACAAGGCTGGGAAGTTCAGTAACAAACTCAGCTGCATTGCAAACAACACAGACTGATTTAAACAGAACAGCCAGAGCTCAGCACGGTGCTGAGGCAGGTCAGGGGGGAGTCACAGCCAAATTATTGTGAAATATCAGCAAATTATTTGCTCCAAATATAGATTGGCTTCCTCTGGATCAATAGGATGGCTGAACCCTGTGGATTCTTTAAACAGCAGAGATTCCTGCCAGCTCCTCTGCTAAACCTTGGGATCCACTCACCCCAGGGAGCCAGGAATCCTCTGCCCKTGCTGAATTCTGGCCCTATCACAGCACAGCAATAGCCACGGATCAACCCCTGCCTTGGAATTTTATGCCTAAGTGCAAAAYTGCCGAGCAATTTACAAATATTTCAGCTTGTCATTCTCCTTCCCCTGGACTGGTTTCCAAGCTGTCAGGCCAGATGGTCTCCTCTAAATCAACAGCTACAGCAAGTGGGGCTGGGAGCCTGCAATGATTTCTGACTGTTGACAATCTAAGAGAATTATATACTACTTCATTAAATCAGTGCAGATTATAACCTGYCAAAGAAATTACTTTTCAAAATGATTTCTATTGAACATGATTCTGATAAGATACTTTCACCCTTTATGCTGCTTATTTATGCTGTCTGATTACCAGGGTCTACATGAACAAAAAGCAAACCCAAAATCTAGAACAAAACCARTATTAACAATATTTTACAATTCATCAGAGCTTGCTGGGACACTCCAGTGCCAAAGGAAATTTTGTTTTCCYGTTGTGCTAAAATCTGCAAGTCACAGAGAGTGGGATACAGGCAGGATTCAGGAGGAATTCTGCTCCTCACACACCTCAGGGAAATGTCAGGAGGCCACAACAGAATGATGAAATCAATCCCCTTTTGCAGGATGAAAAGTTGACACGTGCTAAATGTGATATTTCTGCACATGAAATACGTTGAATTTCAGCCCACCTGACTGTACAAYGGGCAGTTTTTCCTAATTATGGAAATTGGGTGATAAATCAAAGTCTTGACTTGCCAAGGTGCTAAGGACAGGCTACTACAYATTAAATGCTCTTAATTTAGTGAAACTTGGCAAAGGATCAGCAGGATTTTTTTCCCTCAGTTAAGGAGTTTTCCCCTAAGCAATTTGACAGCTTCTATCTTTGGGMTCCCCTTGAACTCTTAAGTTTTATTAGGAGAGTTATTCTGCTTCTATACTTATAAGTTTTATCCCTGGGTTATCTAGACCAAGTAAAATCACTTACATAACAAACTTGTGCTTGTCATATCTGTAAGCTGAATTTCTGAGATAACAGCTTTACTCATTTCTTTCCAACTGTGAAGAATCTCTGCAGTCTGTAATTCTGGTAAGAGGTTTAGAATGGATGCCTTCCACAGAACCAATCTCTCCCCCACCCTCCCACAAACCCACCCCAATCCTATTGAAATAGACTCTAAGAAATGCAAATTGTTCAAATAAGAATTCCAGAGTGACTGCATGAGGTGGAGGGAAGACACCCAGCACTTGAAGACAATTAAATGTTCCTGTAATCACCTTCTAATAGCAGGAAATCTCCAGAAACTGAAGAGTGGAATATTCCCTTTATATCACAGTGCAAACAGAACCAGGGCTGACTTGGACTCTGAAACTCTCAAATATTTTTCCCCTGTCCATCACTGTGTGGTCACTCAGAGGGATYTGTGCCTCCAGTGGAGACCTCAATCCCTTCATGGGTCAGGAAAAGCTGCACCTTTCCCATTTTAGGGTGAATGCAATAGGACTGACACGATTTATCCATCTAATCCCAGGTCTGGAAAGACCCTCAATAAAGCACAGTTGGCTTCCAGATCTAAGTCCCCCAAGGACTTGAATTGAATGCAAAATAACTAAGAAACAACAAAATATTCTTACATAAAAGTTCCTGGCTGAATCAACCCAATGTGCACTTAATTTTAGAGACGTTTCTCTCCCTCATGTTCAGTGTGCAATTCCACATGAGGAAACTGCAGGTTTTTTATTCCCAGGGGCTTCACAGCTCTCCCAAAGAGCAGGAACAACACAGGGWGCGTGGTAGCAGTGGGAAGGTGTGTGGGTACATCATATCTCAGGCTGGTTTGGGGAATGTGGGAGAGCAGGAGGTCCAAGAGCAGTTTGTAGAGCTCAGAGGGTGTGCCAAGGCCTGGGCACCCCCAGGGCACCCCCAGGGCACCCCCAGAACAGCTCACCTGCTGCACACCTCCACACAGTCCTGGTACAGCCGCTCGTACAGGCAGATCCTGAGGTCCACGCTGGGCTGGGGCACCCAGATGGGCACATCCACAGAAACTCCAACAGCACTAAAGCTCAGCTGCCAGGGCACCAATGGAACTGGATCAGTTCTGKTAGTCTTGTTGCCTTGAAAGGCCAGTTTTTAATAATGACACAGACATGGTTAAGGGGATAAAAAGGGTTTKACCTYGGTATTTGGGATCYCAGGTGCACAACTTGATGGCAGAATGCACCCCCGTGTACAGCACGGGTACAAGTTTTATAGGTTTCAGGAATTAGCATATTTATCTAGGATTCCCCAATAAGATACTTAACAAATGCAGTAATGTCCCTCTATTCTAATGAATCCCCCCCAGATGAGGCCAGAGCCCAGTTTACACAAGATGTTCTGGACAGAAGGCCTCACCCAAGGCTGAGCTCAGGTTTAAGATAGCACAGGGCACACTGAGCCCTTCCTGAGGATGTTTGGTCTCTCTGCCCAGCAGAACTCCTAAACTAAGCTGGAACATCAAGCTTCAGGTATTACAAACATGTGGGCTAAGGGGTACAGGCAGATGCATAGAGGGTACAGAAAGCGTAAAAAGGAAAAGCAAAAATCATCAGGCATCAGTCTTACTGACTTCCATCAAGAATTTCTGCTGTAAATACACCTGAGTAAAAGGTTTTATTCTCCATATTGCAACAGGTTCTTTMATGAGGCAGACCTAAGAAAAGCATTTGCAAAGGAAAGCCAAGATGTTGAGACCCCAGCAGAAAAACACAATTCTGCTTTGGTTTGGATTGTCTGACAGGGAACGTGAAGGAAGAGATCTGCCTGTGATTATGAAAAGGAGCATTTCAAGTGTTTTTAGCTGAAGTGAATGGCCCCAGTCCAGGCTCCCCTGGGGCTGCAGCTCAGAAATGCAGCACAGAAATGCAGCACAGGGCTGTGCTCCCTGCTCTGACCCCAGAGCTGAGCCCTGCAGGAGATGATCCTGGAGGAGAAGGTGCCCATGGAGCCTCAGCAGGAGTCTGCAGCTCCTTCTGCAGCCCCAGGGAGAGCCAAGACTGGCTACTGAGCTTCTGGGAAGTTTGTCTTTATTTTTTTGGCAAGATTCTGTGAACTGTTCYGAGCAGAATTTGGCTTCTGATAAAATTTAGAATCACAATATGCTGAAATGGTAACTAAAGTTGTCATCTCTTCCAGATTTTGCACATCAGCTTCACTACTGCCTGCTAAATAATTCCAATTCTGATAGATCAGAAAGGAAATAAATGATGTTTTCCAATGTGATGTCTGATRAAGTGGGAATATCAGGATTATTTGCATAGAGATTTAAGAGAATGAGCAGGTTTAATAAGCATCCTGCATCAGAAATAAGAGTTATGACTTAGAAAGTTACCTCCCATCCAACTACCTAAGAAAAAAAAAGCACAAATATGAAGATTTTAAATKATTTTACACGTTTTGAAGCAGGTCACTCACTGGTTTGCAGTCTGGGTTGTCAAACATGATCACAAAGTCTGCCCTCACATCCCCAGGGACAGCTGGGACAAACAGCACTGGGATTTTCACTGAGCTGAAGGGKCCAATCTCACCCTCAGTCACCTGAAAAAGAAAAAAGAAACTCTGGAAATTGCATTGAAACAAAGAGGCTGTACATACTCACACTGTACACACACTCTACTACACCTAGTTTGTAACTAAATTCAAATCAGGATCAGAACATTAATATGGCTCCAGTCTTTCCCAGATATTGTTCCTGTCCCTCGTGTGCTGTCACCAGCTTGTTTAACCACAGAACCAYACAGCAGAAAAAAAGAGTTACATTGTTAAATTGTTAAATTATTAAATTGTCAAATTGTTAAACTGGGGAATGTGAATCTACACAAAATCTTTCAGCTCAAATATGTCTCTGCAGATCAAAAGAAAGGGGAAAAGTATTCTGTGGTTTCATTCTAAGAATTGACTGGGTGGGCTTGGAGTGGCCATGGAGTTAAGAATTTCTCACCAGAGCAATTTATTTGATGTAGGTTTAGACTACTGAAATTGTGTCTGGTTCTCAGGACATTCATTACCTTYCCAAGCATAATTTCAATTGGTATTTCTCCAGGAGAAAGTTCCACTGAATCATGAGCATTGTCTGTGTCCAGATCTGATCTGGTATTTGATTCTTCTTGATCTGGGAAAAAAACCAAACACAAAACACAACAAAATGATGGTTGTGTCCATCAAAAAAGTATCCAACAAAGCAGAAGTACATGAATTTGGGTCAATATTGCAAATCCAGGCAGGTATAGCAGTGATGGGAAAATTGGGATATCTGGAAGGAAATTCCTGTTTGGTCATCCCGTTTTAGTCTAGTTTGGAATTCTACCTGAGGCACCTGAGCCTTCCACTGCTGAGTAATATTAAATTTCAGTGGATAAGGTCTGGGATGGAGATTGGTGCCTCAAAAATGCAAACTCAGCTGGAAGTGGGGATGGGCTTCAATTTCAATTTCAGTGGGATAAAGGAAAGCAGCCAGAAGGATCTGCAAAAACCACCCACAACCTTCTCAGGGAACTTTCAGCTTCCTGAAATCAATATTGGGAAGAAATGCTCAAAAACATAGATAAGAAACAAATTAAGGAAGTCTTTCTTCTCCAAGACTGGATTTTATTAAGCACATAGTAAACATTAGGAATGARATGGAAAATGTCTGAGGAGGTTCATCTTTCTGCTTCCTTGTTCCTAGAATTACAGCCTATAAAAATAAACCTGTCATGTGGATTGCTATTCTGAGAAGTGGGGATTCAGTTGCTSAGACAAGGATGATGTTAACAATTTTGCAATTTTTGAAGCTGGTTGGGTTCTGTGTTCTTCTGAGACTGAATTGTTGATCACTAATGAGCACTGAGGTTCTCTGCTGCTTTTGATATAATGGTGTCAGGACATTATTTTTAGTMATTTTCTGGGAGGCAGCATCCAAAGAAATATAACATTACTACCAGAGTGATGAACTACTTAATTTACCAAGGAACTTTGCAAACTGAATTGCTCAGATCATTCCAGGAGATTACAGATGGATAAAGGCTGGGCTGGGGAAGTGCAGGGAAGCGTTCCAAAGCATCACCTCACCCTTGGTACTGCTGCTCTCCTTGTTTTGTTCCTCAGCTGCCACAGAACTTGTGCTGCCTCCCTCCTCAGGATCACTGGGACCTCGAGAGATCTGTCAGGAAACACARAGAAGGATTTTCTCCCATGGCTGCTCCTCTGCCTTGCACCAGCTCCAGTTTTAGCCAGCAAAAGTTTTATGAAAATCAGACTTGTGTTTTCTTGCAATGTTTCAGGTTRTAAATGGAGAAATGTGCTGCACTTTGCAAGAACTGCACATTYTACAGGACCTTTATCGATGAGCAGATTGAATTTTTGCTCAGATCAATAATGTAGTAGTGTAGAGTAGTGCCAGTTATTTTACAATTAAAATAATTAACAGTTTTCTAGTGGAACCCCCGGCAGTTCTAGGTCAAAACTTAGGCTACCCCTCCTTTATTGCTGGTTTTGCACCAGGTCATGTTTCTGACTTGCAGGAGTTGAGATTTGTCATGATTCTGTCAGAATCTCCTCTTTTAACTGAACTATTTTTTCCTAATTGTCATGAATGTGGAGAAAACAGGAATCACGACATTAATTACTAAAGGACTTAAAAAATTGGTTTCCCCACTCTTCACAAAATAATTGTTTTTAATTTTATCTCCTAATATTTGGGTCTAACAGATTTATACCAACCCAAATGTACCAAAGATTGGACGAGATGCTCCACCCAAGTCCTTTTTGACCTGAGCTGCTTTATAACCCTGTCCAACTCCACCACACTTCCCAAAACAGAACATTTCTATTCCTTCAGGGAAGTGTTTGGAACCCACCAGGCTTGCAGGAGCAGCTTTTACTGTTGCTCTGTGGGTACTYGTGTCACCTGCTGACGTCTGAACTTTGAATTTTGTTCCCAAAGCCCCGCTGTTTGTCAGGCTGATGGTCCGTGAAATTGTCTCTCCCACCACAAGGCTGCCAAAGTCAATGAGCTCTTTATCCAGAGCCAGCTGTGAGAAGATAAACCATTAATTATCACTGTCCTACATAGCACTGATGTCAATTAAACGAGCATCCGCTTTTTATAATAATGATTATATTATCCACGTGTTTAAAAGGAGTTCCTTACAACGCAGGTCTTGGCTGTACATTTCAGTGGAACAGAAAAAGAACCTGTCTGGGCCATAAACATCACTTCTCCTTCCAGCCCTTCATTTATCTAGAAAACAAAACAAAAAAAAAAACCCTGTAAGTCATTTCAGAAGATTTAGCCTGTGTAGTCTGATGAAAAATATTGTCACTCATTCTTTAAATACCATAYTAAAATACATCTTTACTGATTCTGTGTTTCCACTTTAAAACAGTCTTTGTGACAGCTTGGTTAACTTTAGAAATATTTGGAATCTTGCTCTGATTTGGAGCATTTTTTCAAACATGCATTCAGAATTTGCCTTAATGCAATTTATCAGAGCTTGAATATGCACTCAGCAGTCCACGTATGACAGTATTTTCTCTAAAAATGTAGTTTGTTTCCTTGTTAACAATTAAGAAATTCAATTAATGATGTTTTTAATCAGACTAGTGGACTATACTAGGATTCTCCTCACTATACACTTACCATTGGCTTAAATGTTACCACAAATTCACAGGACATCCCAGAAAACATTTTGCCAGGTGGGTCAAAACTATGGAGATAACGAACATAAAAGTCCAAATTAGAGATGTGCAGGGCACACCCAGCTCCTGCTCTGGTAACAATAACAGAATTACTTTTTTTCCCCTCACTTGGACTAATTATCAGAAAAGTCAGAATGAGTGACAGATTAATGAAACCTGTCAGAACCCTGCTGCAACTGGGAAACAACAAAGGCTGGTTCTTTATTAAGGTTTTGTTCAGAAAGATTTGAAGTGCTTTTAAAAGGTAAGACAAGGAGGTGAAGCTGAGGCTCAAAATCAGCAAGAACAGGTTGAACTGCCCAGTCAGACAATTAGGAAGCAACTTCTCCCATTATCTGTTTTAATGCTGCTCTGTAACAYCTCCCCTGTCCAAACACAAAATGAAGAGGAAAAACCCAAGGAAGGAGCTACAACTGATTAGAAAATGTGCTGCTGTATCAAAATTATCTGGAATAGAATCTGCCACTCATTTCATGGTCCATGTGAGGTAAGGAAAATGCCCAGCAGAAGACATCCCCCAGCTGAACTGTAAATGAAATTATTGAGCCCTGGCAGAGGAGCCAGAGGAGATAAGGAAGTGTTGTCAGCCATGGGAGCCCCTAAGCCAAGTGAGACAAGGAAAAAACTTGCCCTTCACAGTTTTATCAAAGCAAAATTAAAATCAGCCAAAGCAAGATGGAACATTTTCACAAATGGAGACACTTTTCAGAATKTAGGAGTTTAAAATGTGGACAGAGACAAGCACCTGTGGCCTGATCTTTTGGGCAGATCCCTGGCAGTTTTTCCCCAGACAGGCTTTCAGGAATGGTTCTTTATTTCAAATGTTACCTTGATAAAATAGTTCTGATTTGGAGCACGAACTGCCAAACACACAAACCCACACAGAACCACATATCTAAGGAGAGGCTCCCATTGCACAGGGTGTAATAATACTGATTTTAACCACTAAAATAAAGCTTTTTATCAGCAAAGATAGTGCCTGTCACTGATAACAGCTCTCAAGTGTGATGTCTGTAAATACCTGTGCACTGATTTCAAGGACAGTGACACCATGACAGTGTAGACTTGCTGGGTATTTTGAAAAYACTTGGCAAAACTATTTTGTAACAGACAATTTCTGATTGGTTCTACTGGAGATAAGCTTTACACTGTGCAGGATCAGTGTCCACAGCTCTGAGCTCTGCTGATCAACTATTAATAATATGACAGTGGAGAATAAAATCTTAGATTATTTTTTCTAGTTATCCAGCTGGCAAATGTATATAAATATATATGACATTAAATTTATATGTATATAAATATATATGTAAATAAATGTATATGGCAAATGTTATAAAAACAACCAATTAATTTTAAAAAAGTTAATTAATTCATCAGACATTGAAAAATCATTCACAACCCTTGATGTTTCATTTGTATTTGAAGATTACTTTGAAAGGCAATTACAGCAAGGAAAGACTTGGGCCTTTCCAAAGGCATTGTTTAATTTTCAGTCACAAACCAGAGGCGCTGATTTACCACATGCAATTGTCCACCACACTAAATGAGAAAAAAAAAAATCAATCTTTGAGAGCAGGAAACCCTCATTTTGTCGGATTAGTAGCTTCAGGCTTTGTCACAGAAATTAAACACGTGTAAGTGGGTCAAAATTAAATCCACACATGTGATTTCCAACAACCCACGAGCCACACACTGAGCACCAGAGCAGATTTGAGAGCGAGGGGCTCTGCTGTGTCACTTATTTCTCCATTTCCATCAGTCTGGGAATGAAGTGTTCCACACTTTTCCCAATCACCCACAGGAGCTGGATCCAGACTTTACAGCTCTCCAGGGATGTTATTCACTGAAGATCTCTGTGTCCACATTCCAGGGGACTTTTGTGGGGATGAAGTGGGTAAGGAATGGCTTCCAGGAATTCCACTTTTATCCCCACAAGAGCAATGGGCAGCGAGCTGGACAAGGAGCTCTGGAGTCTGAATTCCCTTATGGTGGACAAAAAACTTGTTTATTCACTGGGGTRGGATTAAATTGTCCAAGTGGCTTCTCCAGGCCAGCCTTAAGAGCTGTAACCTGAACTTTCTCTGTAAACCACAGGAATTCACTTCCATGTCTCCTGCTTGGCTGTAAGTCTCACTTACACACAGGAGCTTTGGCATTTTTTCATTTCTAGGCTGGACTAAAATAACCTTCTTTGCTTTTTCACAGAATTCCAAGTAAATATATTGTTTTTCTGGCTTTATTTTTTAGATGAAGGCAAGTTGTGAAAAGTAGTATTTTATATTTTTAAAGGCTCAGAACAGCTCCARAGAAAACTGATGTCTGAATTCTTAAAAAGAAACATTTTGTGGATACTTCCTTTTTGCAGATAACGCCTTCTGTTTATTTACAAACAGTGAGATAAAATTATCAATATTGTTAAAGTGAGATTAATTTACAATCTCTCAGCTAGACACAGCTTCATTACATAACCTGGCARAAGGATTACAGGAATAAATTGATGGGAAAGACCACAGGATTGTAATCTAAGTCCTCACTGCTCTGAGATTGATTTCCTTTTTTCCATCAGCTTTCYTCCCTTCCTTTTCTGTCTAATTAAACTGTGTTTATCTCAACCCACAAGTTTTACTTTATTCCTGCCAATTCTCTCCCCCATCCCACCAAGGGGCACTGAGGAGCTGCTTTGTGGGATTTTTCTGCCTGCAGGGTTAACCCATGACAAGCAGGAGTTTCAATTGCTGCAGAATTGGGTTTCAGCTCTTGTTGTGGTATAAGGTAAAACAAATCTACAATTAATTTACTCACTGAACACTGATGAAGTCCTTGAGCCATTCACTGATTCCCACCAGCCTGCAGTAATTAATACCATAGGATGCATTTGTCAAAACAATCTTCTTTTTGTAGATTTGCCCAACATCAAAATCCTTGGAAAGCCAAACACACCAGGTGAATGTCAGAGACAWGATGCCATGCTTATGGTCTAACAGAGTTATTAACAGTTTTGTTAATTATCTGAAGTCTTACCTGCATGGAGTCACCACTTCTTCAAGGATATTATTTTACAGTAAWAATGTATTTACTAACAATATACAAGTACCAGTCCTGCTGCCTTTAAAAAACACAGAACACAGCCCAACAAAGAGGTTTTATCATATGCTCACCTTTCTGACAGTCTTTAAACTCCCCTAGGTAAAGGAAGGATTTAATAATTTAGATAGTAAAATGAACTTGTTTATTTAATCCCTTAACTAAGTTTGTTGGAAAAAAAGGCAAGAGCTGTTTCCAGTTTCACTACAGACCTATTAAAAGCTGCAAATTAATTTTGCTCAAGACATTGGGATATACCTCCAGCAGATAATCTTTACAATTCCATGCAGAATGGCCACTGACCTTGAAATGAATGCAGCTGGGTTTGCTGTGGAAAGCACGGCCCTTATGCTCCCGACCAGACACTGTCTGCTTGGGAGAAATTCCAGTTTGGAGTTGCTCCATTTTTTTCTCAGCCATTTCTTTCCTCATTGCCCTAATAGCCAACCGTGTTGGATCTTCTTCTTTGGGTACCTAATGAAGAACATCCACAAAAACCACCAGGAACATCCACAAAAACCACCAGGAGCACCCTGAAAAACCACCAGGAATATCCAGAAAAAGGGCTGTGTGTGATCCCAGAATCTGTAGCTCCAGTGGAAAACCTACAAAAGGAATCTTGCAGCACCAGGCCAGCCTTTGCCTGGCTCTGTCCAGTCAAAATCAATCTCCCAACCTCAACATGAAGGATTTAATGGATTCTCAGCTGTCTGTGCAGTAGTTTTTCATCATCCAGCACTATGACATCATGGTTTTCATGGCAGGATTAGTTTTTCTGCACTTTAAGGGTTATTTCCCCCTCAATTTTATTTATTTTATTAAACATTGAGAATAAAATCAGCTCACTGAAATGTTTCAGTCATGGTCCAGTGCTTCTCCATGCAAGCACAGGAATATGGACTGATATGATTTCTTTTTAATTGATTCTGAAATTTTTTAAACTCAAACAATTAAACAGAATGTGATTTATGTCTTCATCCAGCTCTGAACCAAATCTGAAGCATTGCTCTCTCTTTGAGAGAACAAACTCCTCCAGAAGAAATTCAAACAGTAAATCTGAATTTCTGCATCTATGTAACAAAGTAAAGGCTGCATTTTAACTGCCAAATACACAATTACTAGTTTTAAGCAAGATTCTTTTCTATTTTTGTCCAGAGATATCACAACATTTACCTTGTGCAGGTCATACTGGCGATCCCAAAGGCCTGGGAACTCTGGGATTAGGAGGCTCTCGTCCCTGTCTGTCTCCTCATCACCACTTTCCCAGAGCACATCCTGGGAAATGTTCTCAGAACTCTCTCCTGAGGGAGCAGGTACCTCACCAGCCATGGAACAAACCGATGGAGAGCGCTGTGACTTTGGGGAAAAAACCACAAATCTTGAAAATACAGTTAAAAACKACTGGAGAGCCATTACTTCACCAGTTATCAGTTTCACAGGACATYTTTTAATACAAAAATGACAGGTTTTAAAACTCAGAGGCCAAAGATGAAAACTGAGTCAATTCTCGCTTAAAACATTTAATACAGAAAAAATTTATGTTAAACATCACTACATTTCCTTCAAGAAAAAGAAAACTAACAGACATTTAGAGATCTGATGTGGAAATAACTCTCCACTTGTTCTCTATTGTCTTGTGAAGAATTCAATGACCTGCACCTTTAACAAAACAAAATAAAACAATTTAAAGACAGTTTATTCTTAGGTCTTTGATTACCTGTGGTATTTCTCCATCTGCACGTTTGCAGCTTTCCTCACTGTACTGCCAGGTTTCCTTTCTCTGCAGTAAAGGATCTTCAGGTTTACCACGWGCCTTAATTGCCTTAGTAGGGGGCTGACTTTTTTTCTGCTTGTGAACAGCAGCTTTTTCTTGCAAAATTCGAGACACAATCTCCATTTTCCTTGATTTCTGCAGTTCTYTAAAAGCTCTGGAATCCAAAGTTGTAAGAAATATTAACCCAACCATGGTTGTTTACCAATATTAACTCCAACCCAGTTCCCTCAGAGCCTTTAAGCTAAATAACAAGTCTTTAAGTTGTGTTCAGTGGTAATTTGTGCCAAGACACTCAAGTGATTCAGAGGCTGTTTATACATTTTTGCAGACTAAATAAAGTCAGTTACAGTGGTTTGGAAGGCTGATACAGACTTTCAGGAGAGGAARAAGGACAGTTACTGTGATGCCTTAGGATTTTTAGTTTCTATATTTTCATGCATCTGTATTGTTTTAGTTCTCTAGTGCAGTGCTTAAGCTGCTGCTCTCCCATCTTTAGACAAAACAATTCCTCTCTGAGCTGAATCCAAGGATACCTCACTGCCTCAGAACCCCAAAATATGGAAACAACAGAGAAYTGGGGGGAGAAAGTTTGGGGTGTTTGACGTCATCACCTGAAGGTGTCATTGGGGAATTGAGGCCCAATATGTTCAAAAGACAGAACTTATAAAAGGTGAAGATCTCATGACTCGGGGTCCATTTTGGGTGTAGCCTCAGGAGGAGGAGGCTTTGTCTGCCCTCATGTACCACTAGGCCTGTTAGGCCTGGATTAAAGTTGTCTRTTCTCATTCTCTCAAGTTTGTCTGGGCTCTGTTTCAGATGAGCCTGATTTTTAGGCAACAACTGCAGGTTCCCACTTCAGGGGCACTGAACTTCCCTCCTGGAGCAGTTGATYATGGAACACCCACAGAGCTCTGGTGCTCTGAACAGCCCTAAGTCAGGAGTTSAGGGCACAAAGAACAGACTGTACAAGTGTCACCCACAGAGTGGGAGAGGGAATTCACTCCCTCGAGGCACCATCAGAGATGTTCTGCCTTCAGGATCTGACTGAGCTCCAACACATTCCTGCAAGAGCACCAGGGAGCAGGCAAAGTTTGACATGAATATGATACTCACTCTTTCTTTTTTTCATGCTCTTGCTGTCGTTTATGGAGAAAAATTTCCCTGACAGCATTGCCTCCTTGTGCRAGGATGGCTTCCCTCATTTTCATCTCCTCCTTCTCTGCCTCCAAGGCCTTTGCTTTGTTCAAAATCTGGAGAGTTTGGAGCCTTTCCTAAGAAGGTCACACAAGCCAGTTACATATTTGATYCACATATTAAAGAATATAAAAAAGAGAATCTAATGTTGGTCCTCCTATCCAAATGTACATTTGTGGTGGATGTCTCTGAAGGAGACATTTTTTTGTTTGTAATATTCTCTGTAGTCTTGGGGTGCTGAGATGCAGAAAGCTCTGATTAGGTCCAGGCTACTTCTCTACCATTCCAGCCTGGCCCTGGAATCCTGCTCAATGAAGGAATGTGAAAAGATAACAGTTCTAAACAAATCAGGATTAAATTCAGATCATTCCCTCAGATTCTACAGTGCATAAATAGAATAGCAAAGCAGCATAGCTCAGAAATTCCTAATTTACACTAYTTAAATTCTTAAAACGCTCTTTTTCTTCCATATGTTTTCTCCATGTGGAATATTTCTACATTGGGATYCAAATAACTGGAAATCCTTCTGTCTGAACCACCAAAGAACTTATTTTAAGGATGTATTATTTCCCCACCCAGAACAACTAGACTGTTGACAGAATAAATTCTGCATCAGCAGAATTGTCAAAACCTGCCCACACAGATCTCACACCGTTCCTCCAACAGCTCCACTGTCCCCAGTTTCAAGGGATTTGGTCAGTGATCTGATCAAAAACCATCCCACAGCTCTGCAGGGAAAACTGGAATGACTTGCATCAGAAGGCAGCAGTCTCACAAGTCAGTGACTTCATCCCCATCCCAGCCCAGCAGCCGTACCCTGTTGGAAGTGATGCTGGTTTTCAGGGAAAGCACAGCTTGTATCCTTCTCTCCATATGCTCCCGAGCTTTCACTTCTTCCTTTGCGTTTTTTTCATGAATTCTGTAAGCAAAGTGAAATCTTTCAGGCTCTCATCCTGGAAAGCTCTGGGTATCAGAATGTTTAAGCTGACAAGGAGTGATTGCCAAGGTGSCCAAGCATTGCTGCTGTGAACCCCTGGCTGGTGGGGCACTGGCAGTTTGGAGACTCTTCCAAACACAGCACCGCTCAAACTCCAAGTGCCAACAGGTTTTCAAATATTTTGCTCAACAACTTTAATTTTTTTTTTTTAAATTCTGGAGATGAAGAATGTGTTCCATGTTATGACATATGACTGGCTGTTAAAATAAAGTAAGAATTCAGGTGTTGCTCATATAACCAATACCTAAACATTCTGTAGCAAACTTTTACAAGCCAAGCACATGTACCCACACTAAAAATAAACCCTAAAAACTCTGCAAATTGGAAATATGTGGGCAGGAATCAAACCTGAGAGTATTCCAGCTAATATAATGGTAAGCTGAAAAAAACATTTTGTAAGATTGATACATTTGATAAATTTGTCATGAAAAAAATTGATTTGTTTTTCTTAATCACAATCAGTTTGCATACACCATCTAATAAAAACAACCAGCATAGAAACAGTACCATGATTTCCATCATTTTACAATTAAGTCCTAATATTTGTATATTAGGATATGTTCGAATATCTGTAAAAATAAGTMACAAATGTTCAGTTTCTTCAGTAGSAWMATAATTTAAAACTAGAATAAYAACATAAAYATAAATCTATGAAAGAACATTTAATTTAAAATCAACCAGAGCAGGAGCACAAAGAAAGGGCCCATCATTGATCTGACAGCAAAAGGCTGTTTTACCACATTTCTGAGGGGACACAGAATGGCAAAGGGCAGGTTTCAAATCTGGATTTGAATTATACTGCTCCAGGTAATGACCCACACACACACACATATATATATATAAAATATTTATAAAATATTTCAAATCATTATTAATGCCTCAGAGTGGTCAGAGTCCTCATGAAGAAGACCATCCCTTCAGCTGTAGGGAATTTGGAGGCCGTGCTAGGACAGTGAGTGGATTTTCTCCTTTCCATGTCCTTTTGTGCCTGTRAGATCTCAATGCTTCACTGTACCTGGCACAGGATTTCCAGGTGCAACAGAAAAATCATAATTTTTTGAAGACTGGAGGATAAARCATTGCCCAGCAGAGAATGTACAACATGAAAGGATGAAGGCCCACCTCGCCATGCTTTGCCTCAGGAAGGAGACTGCTTTCTCATGGTTCCTTTTGGCATCCTTGAAGAGTTTTTTCTTTCTTTCTTCATGTTCTCTCCGGGCTTCTTCCTCTCTTCTGGAAAACAAATCCCCCATATTATAGGCAAAGTGATAAACTTCACCAAAACCACAAACTGACATTCATGTCTGCTTTCTCTCCAGGAAATCTCAAAGGACTTGGCCACAAGCTCAGAAAGTTCTGGAAGCCAATAGCACTGCAGACACATATAGTCTGACCCAATAAACCCCATTTCCTATGAGAAAAAACCCCAGCCTTTCYAGTTATTTTTATTAACAAGTTTATTCCCATAGATCAGAAATCTTTACCTGCATAACTGCAAGGCCGTGGCCAATTCTTATTTTAATTCCATTTCCTCACCAAATTCCTGAAGTACACCCAGCTAAGACACACAGTAGCACCAGTATTTGGACAAGTTAATCTCAGCACCTGCAGCAGTGAATTGGCTGAAAATGAAACAAGAAAGGCAGAAGGCTCTGCCTTAGAGGCTCTTACTTCTCTTGAGTTCGACGCCTTCCTTCTGCTTGCAGGGCTGTTATTTTTTCCTTCCAAATCCTCACTCCTTTCTCCTCCTGGTATTGCATCTGTAGCTCCTTTTCATCTTTTTGAAGTTGTTCACGGAGGTTTATGTATTTCCTCTGTGTAGTTTCTATCTGCCACATCTCAACCCTTTAAAACAAAATGTGAGTTGTTTTCACTGRAAGACTGATATTCTTTCACTTTAAGGTGATGGATTGAATAGGGAAGGCTCTATGGTGAAAATAAACATGTAGCCATGTTTTCTTTTATTTTTTTTAAAACATATTGTGACTCAAACCCTGTTACAGACACACGTTTCAGACTAAGGCTCATATCTAATAGAATATCCATTTTAAGGACATTAAAATATTGGTTAAAAGGAAAAAAAAAGGTACAAAAATAAACCCCAAGGATCTGTTTTGTGCATTTACCCAGAAAAAAAACATGAAAAACAAGAAAAAATTATAAAAATAGCTTTTTTCTTCAACAGTAAATAACTTCATGGACAGGCCATAGCTTTTATTCTTCTGTGCTTCGCTGAAGGAAGCAGATATGGTAGGGATGAGTCCATGATCCTGTTYTGTGGATTGCTAATCACACAATAAACAAGTCAAGCATTTTAAAGCTATTACACAACACTGCAGCAGAACACACTRTATCCTGCCCAACCACTTGGCTAATCACAGCTAGAAGCTTTGTGCCTGTGTTCCTCCTTTGATGTACCTGTGGTACCAAAATATAAACACACTCACCTGTTGCCTTCTGCAAAAGACAGTTTTACTCTGTCTGATAGAAAAACAGTAATTTATTATGTGTGAACAATCAATTACAAGCAGCAATATTAGCTTGGCATAAAAATACACAGTACTGCTACAATGTCTCCATCATGCTAATTTTCTTTCCTTTATGCTCTRTAAAACACTGAGGCATAAATTACAAGTATTTATGCCCATCCATAGATAGATTTACTTTAGTCCAGCTTATTTTCCATTTCAAATGAGACCTGTTTAGGTCCACAATTTATGCACCTGTCACAATAAAATCAAAACTTTATTTACACGTGCAAAACTAACTTGGGAATTGAGCCAAAGCACCCAGCTTTGTAAGGAATGAACCATGCAGGATGAAAGTAGCTCTCAAACGATGTAATTCAATATTTACAAGCAATTTCTGTATTGATTAACTTTCGAATCCATCCAACAGCATATGAATTCACACTTTTTTCATTCCCTCACTTACAGGTTTTGTTTCAGTGCCAAAGCAATTCTCAGCTCCATCTCCTTCTCTGCCTCCAGTTCAGCGCACAATCGGCTGCTCATGGCCTGCAGGCGGGACACGGCCGCGCTGGAAACGTTAGAAAGGAACAACCAGAAAGAAATTTSAACATAACTCCCCTTGCAAGATCAGCAAGAATAAAGCATAGCTCTGAGGCTGAGTTTATTCATTAGGGTCCCAGTAATTTATGCAGCCTCTTGTTTAACCTTCKAAGTGTCCATTTTCGAGGCAGAGCTTTCTTTAAACTGTTACACACTGGYTGAAATGAACAGATGAGAATTTTAAAAACATTGACCAGTAGCTTAATGCAACTACTCATTTCTCAAACTGATAAAAGTAGTAATATTCATGAACATAAGCGTAGGTGAACCCAGAGAACCTAGACTGATTTTGCTCTTAAAATGGTACTACGATATTCCATACAYTTTGCCTACAATTGCAGCATTCCCACACAGTTATTTTCCTTCTYTCCCCAGGAAAACTAGCAGACAGTGTACTACAGGATCCACAAACAGGGCCCTGACTACACTAAACACAAACTCCCATCCTCTAAATGAAAATTAGGACTTCAACCTGCAGTTATTCCTCTAAATTCAACATTTTTGTAYTGGCATTGGTACTGCTAATGGCAGCCAGGATTTGCATTATTACTAAAACACAACGCCAGCAATCTATCAAGTCTTCTCCCCCCACTATTCACTTGCTAAGTGGAAGAGATTGGGAGAAATGCAATTTATTTTTTTCCATTCCAGACCTCTCAATGTGACCCATCCTAAGGATAAACACTACACTGCTTTTGTCTCTTTGCTGGGTTTTGTTACTGTCACAGAGATCCCACTTGCACCACCTCAGGAGGCTCATTTGCATCAACTCATCAGTTTTGTTAACGCAGCTCTCCCATTCTGGCAGTTAACCTGCCTTCCTCTCTCTCATTCATTGCTGCTCTAACCTGGAGATTCACACAGGTTAGAAATGCAGCTGCAAAGTTTGTTCACAAGCCTCTGGCTCCCGGTACACAAGCCACCCACTGCTTTCTATTTAAACCAAATGTGAAGAGTACAGTAAATTGCCTCCCACTTGATAGCACAAGTGTTTCAGAGCAGCTCCTGTATGCAGAGCTACTCCTGAAAGGCATCCCTGCATTCCAGAACAACATGAGAAAGAAATGGTGCACGTATGTGTGTGTGTATATAAATATATACACAAAAATATATATAAATCCTGGMTGAGTAATCACCAGAAGCAAAGTTGTGACCTCCAGGAGTGCCACAGAACCTTGATTCATCAGACTGAGCGGAAGATTGAGACCCTGACAGACATAATTGACAGCAGTGGGCTAGGCTGATTCAATACCTGTTGTTATATTTTAAAATATATGCCTCTTTCCTACTCGTTCCCAAATTTCCACCTCTTTCTGCTCTGATCTCATTAATTACACACAGATGAACATAGTGGATGCCTGTAATCCTTGGTATCCAGAAATACTTCTCTACCTACACATTGCCAGCCTCCTCCTCTTTCTCTATTTCCATGTCTACATGATCCAGCTGCTTTGCCAGCATCTTGCTCCGCAGTCGACAGGCACTCAGMGTGTCACTGCAAGAAACAAACACATCATTTAGACTTTGTAGCTTCTCTCCCTGATGAAACTCTTCTTTTTGGGGGCAAGATTCCCAGCCAGGATTCCTGTCAGATAYAGTCTGTAGTTCTACAAACTCTAGTATTTATGACTGATGAACTATCTGGTATTTGTTGGTGATTTGTGCTGATGGATTATGTTTGCTYAAACACTGACCTGGTTTTTTGGACYGCCAGTTCCTTTTCCCTGACTATGTCATCAAACAATCTGAGGCTCCTCTGTGAGGCTGATATGCGAATTCTGTCTGCAGACTTCAGGGGCTGAATGCTACTAACACTGCCCAAATCRCGTTCTGAGCTTTGCCTTTGAATTGAAACACACAATCAACAAAGAAACATCATGAGAAATTGTAATTTTATGATGTTTRTATGACATCTTTACATCCTGGATTTCTGTTTTATTCCAGCAGAACTATTACAAGTAAGATAACTATAAATAAGGAAAAATATGAACACAAACTGCACAAGAAGTTTGCATGCATGCACTTAAATCAGGATTTTCAGACTTAGATATCTAATGCTGGACATTGATACTCTCATTTAATGCATTAATGATGTGTCTTTATTTTAAAATAAAGCCTGTGGCTCCTCTTGATCCCTCTTTGGGTTTGCAATTTTGGTGTTCCTGAATAATAATTTACAATTTTAACAGCAACATTTCAAACTAGTTTARGACACGTCATACACAGCTGATCAGTCAACACCACAAAGGAAATTCCTGTTTGAACTGGAACAAGGTATTTACGTGCTAGAATCAGACTGGWCTCCAGCATCTTCAGAAGAGTCCTTGTCTTCCCTCCTGCCATCATCAGCCAAGTCTTCTTCCAGCTCATATTCTAGCAGATATTGAAACAACAGCTTAATAAAGAGACTTTGAATTTTAAAATGCARAGCTTTCTATACTTGCTGTCAAGTCACAGCGTGGGGAATCAGAGATGACGTTTTATGGCATTTCTGTATCGTACATTAAAAATTTATATGGCAAAACACACAGGACTATTGTACACCCACAAATGAAGAGGAGAATGTTCTCTGCCTTCATGTGGAGGTGTCAGCAAGAATCCCATTTATGTGGGAAAATCCCAGACAAGAACAGGGAGGGGAAAAGGTTCTGAGCAATGACCTAACATGTTTATTTTACATTAAGCTGACATTAATGTCTGGTTTTTGTGAGTTATAAAACAATTCACTTTCACCTTCCCAGTGCTCTTCCATGTCCAGGAGCTGACCAGCTGCATCTTCTTTTTCTTCCTCTTCTTCTCTTTCATTTTCTTCCTCTTCTTCTCTTTCTTCTTCTTCCTCTTCTTCTCTTTCTTTCTCTCCCTCTTCTTCTCTTTCTTCTTCCTCTTCTTCTCTTTCTTTTTCTTCCTCTTCCTCTCTTTCTTTTTCTCCCTCTTCTTCTCTTTCTTTTTCTCCCTCTTCTTCTCTTTCTTTTTCTCCCTCTTCTTCTCTTTCTTTTTCTCCCTCTTCCTCTCTTTCTTCTTGCTCTTCTTCTCTTTTGTGTTCTTCCTCTTTTTCTCTTTCTTCTTCCTCTTCCTCTCTTTTTTCTTCCTCTTCTTTTTCTTTTTCTTCCTCTTCTTCTCTTTCTTTTTCTTCCTCTTCTCTCTTTTCTTCCTCTTCTATTCTTTCTTCTTTCTCCTCTTCTAGAAATGCTGGAGGAGATATTTGCTGTTCTTCCTCACTCTGACTGATCTCATGTTCTTCCATGCTGACAGTTCTTCCCAAATGACCAGCCTGATAAAAAGAACATGTTTTACACATCAAATCTCCAACTTGCAATAATGGTGACCATCTCTGGAGGTGAATTCACAGCATTCAGTATACACTTAATGCACGTAAAATAACTGGATACAACCACACACCTCTGTGCTAGTTACACATTTTGCGCATTAACTGTAATAAATCTTAGACAAAAGTAAGGACACTGCTGTTTTTAATATTTTATAACTGTCAGCTGAATAACAAAACAAACCTGGACATATTTTATTGCCTTAGACTTTACCTTAAATGATTTGGGCACAACTCCAACAAGCAGTATTTGCTTTTGAGCATTGTGTAGCTCTCTAATGTAAAGTAAACTGTTCCCAAATGTTGTTACAATTTATTAGAAATCAGTGAATTTTGTATGTCATCTAGAATGAGTTATTACCACATGGTTGAGCATTTCACATCTTACTCACAGAGAGACTTGGACATATGATTAATTTTAACGAAGGTGGCTCAGCAATGAGTGTGTTTATGTAAATCCTTCTGCAGAACTCAAAACAATAAACTAGAAGAGAGTAATTGGTTTGTTTTTTTCCAGTTAAGGAGCAGAGAAAACACACCCCAGGGTTTGAAATATGGAACAATGAGTAAAAGATAGGAAYTGCCTTAAAGCCACGCAGGATTTGCACGCTGGGCCACGGCTGATTTAGGAATRTTGGTGGCACCAAGAAGTGGCACAAACATCAAAGGAGCTGCCAATGCAGCAGCGGCCCCAGCGCTTCCAGCCAAACCACCGCGCCCTGAGGTTGTGCAGCTCCAACTCCCAAACAACAAACTTTGGGGTCAACGAGGCCGAGATGCACAGCACGGCAGAAGTCCCAACGTTTCTCCCCCAGCACCCCGGGGCAGGCTCGGCTCTCCCAGCGCTGTCCCGTCCCGGCTCACCGCGGTCACACCCGGTCCGGCTCCTCACGGCCCCGGGCCCGCCTCACCGGCCGGGCCGCGCTGCCACGGCAACGGCGCCAACCACAGCGCGCGGGGGCGCCGCGCACGCACGGCCGCGAGCCGCCCCCCAAACTCCGCGGGCGCGGGGCGGCGCTGCCAGCGCGGCTCCATGGGATCCCCCCTCCGCCCGAGGGGTGGTGCGGCCCGGGCGGGCGGGAACGAGGGCTGGGCAG